GCCACGATTACGTTTCTTCACCTTCAGTTTTACTGTGGTTTCTGAATTTTTCCCATCCATTAGAATTATGTAAGGTGGTGCTCTGGTGGTATAGTGGATAAGGCATTTGGCTGCTAACCAGAAAGTCAGTGATTAAAACCCACCAGCCACTCCAGCGGAGAAAGATGGGGCAATCTACTTCCATAAAGATTTACCACCTCAGAAACCCAATGGGGTCACTATGAGTTAGAGTTGAATTCATGGCAGTGAGTTTGATTTGGGGGGGGGGGCGATATTAAGAAGAAAATACAGCTTCCTAGAAGCTCTGGTGGCATAGTGCCTAAGGCATTTGACTACTAAACAGAAGGCTAACAGTTCAAACCCACCAGTGACTTCTCAGAAGGAAGATTGGACAATCTACTTCTGTAGTAATACCACCTCGGAAACCTGAGGAGGGGTCACTGTGAGTCAGATCCAACTCGACAGCAGTGAGTTTGTTTGTTGAGACCTCACTTCAACTAACTGAATTTCTGGTGGTGGTATCATTTTTTAAATCTGAGCCGTAGAAAATGTAGAGCCTATCAGAATGTTTCCTAAAATCTCAAAAATTCCATTTGATGACAAAATCCTAGCAGCTACATGTTATCAGACAAGTCTTTGGTCCATGATTTTCACACCAAAGAGAAACAGATCTTCCATTGCTATATTCCCAGCCTAAGAGCACCTTAAGCAAATAAAGTTCACTGAGCCTAGTCACAGGGGAGGATTACCCAATAATCAAGGTAAGCATGGGATTATCTGTGCTTAATTAGTAATCTGTAGTGAACAGTTTCACATGCTTTTCAGCATGTTGGTGTTGTTATGTGCCGTGGAGTCTGACCCAACTCATAGCCATCCCTCCTTGGGCTGCCAAGGCAGTATCATTATGGAAGTAGATTGCCCTACCTTCCTTCCGAGGAGTGGCTGGTGGGTTTGAACCACCAGCCTTCTGATTAGCAGTCAAGTGCCTTAGGCACTATGCTACCAGAGCTCCTTTTCACCATGTAAGCACAAGTAAGCTCATGCTTACCTGTGCTTACTAGGCACCCCGCCCCTGTCAGGGACTGTAAATTTGCAAAAGAGGCTTTGATTCTGTCGGAAGGTGCTGTGGGGTTGGGAGAGTGACGGATACCAGCCATACCAAGAATCAGAATCTGTGTGTGGTGAAAAAGTATGAAACTTTCCACTACAGATTGGTAAGTAAGCACAAGTAAACCCGTGTTTACTTTGTTTATTGGGTATCCAACACTGCCTAGGGAAGCATGGAACAGGCTCAGCCCAAACCTTCCCTTGTTCTCAGGAAATCCTTCATTGGACTTGATGGGCCTTTCCATTCATTAGGACTCACTCATTCTTGCAGACACTCCCAACAGGCCCAGGCCCAAGTTACTAAACGCTGTCTCCCTTTGTTTTAAAAGTAATGATGTGGGGAAATCTTTTGAGATGGAAATTTCCCAAAGCACATCAGAACCACCCAGCCCCTCCCAAGCAGGATTGTGAGCCAGGGGTGTGGCCGGCAGAGCCAGAGCAGCCTGAGACTACAGCAAAGAAAAGGAAATGGAGGGCAAGATTTACTCTTTGCTTCTCACCTGCTGTTTCAAACATCTCCCACCAGGAGGGTGGGTACAGAATACACAAGATGGGAAGTTCAGCACTTGAGGACAAGCGGGAAGAGCGGAATTTCTACCTTCAAAATCCCTGCCAAACTCTATGTCCCTGGGCTTCTGTAGTTCTAAAAAATCCTGGAAGATTCTGATAGAATCTGGGCCTTCTTGTTGGTTGCTCTCAAGTCAGCCTGACACATTGCTACCCTATGCATATACAACAGAATGAAGTCACTGCCCAGTCAAGCACCACCCTCATGGTCACTGGTATGCTTGCGTCCGTTGTTACAGCAACTGTACATTTTGACAGCCCTCCAACCTACCTATGTAGACGACAGTATTCTGTTGTGATCCACGGGATTTTAATTGGCTGATTTTCAGAAGTAAATTGCCAGGGGTTTGTTCTCAGTCTGTCCTAGTCTGGAAGCTCCTTTGAAACCTGTCCATCATGGGTGACCCTACTGGTATTTGAGACACTGTTGCATAGCTTCCAGCATCACAGCAACACGTAAGTCACCACAGTGTGACAAACTGACAGAACAGCTGGTGGCTAGGACCTTGGCAAGCAGGAAATGCTTGTCTCCCAACCAGAACAAAAAAAAAAAAGTATACTCAGCCTACCAGCAAGCACAATTAGTTAAACTGGGTAAAACTTTTAAAACAGTTAAAACTAGCCTCTTGGCATCTTTGTCCAGCTCCCTGTCTAACAGGCCTTTAACCTGACTGGGTCAGAATCAACAAAAAGCAATGTGGTTGCAGGGAAGCCCTGCTGTGATCACAATTGGATGAGAAGCAACTTGCACTGGGACTGGAATTACCCAAAGTCATACTTAAGCCGCCTATTAAAAGCTCAAGTCCCAGGATGACTGGGCAGTGTCCAACCCCACCCCAGAGCATGGGAGGGGCCCTGGCCCCTGATTACACCTGGCAACTCAGGCAGAGATGAAAAGGTAGCCTCCCAGGCCAGGGTCATGTATGCATGAACAGATAGAGAGGCAGGGGTGGCTTCCCAGTCTGCTCTGGGCCAGACTCCTCTGGAAAGGCTCAGAACAGTGATGTGGATCTGATGTCAGACCTGGGAATGGGTGTCAGTCAAGAGTAGTCTCAGGACCCCATCAGGTCTGGATCTGGAATGGGTCTGGGGTCTTGGACTCTGAGTCTGACTCCTCGGCAAAGACTAGAATGTGGTCGTTTCCGATTTCTCCTTACCAGGCCTGCCTCACCCAGATGTTTGAAAGAATAACATGAAGTCTAATCTTTCTGGTCACACTGGCCCCAGTCAAGGCAAAGCCAGTCTTACAGTGTCTAGAGCCCAAGCCCAGGACATCCCCCCCACTTCTGCCAGGACCCCATTTCTCTAGCTGCTCCATCAGCGGCCAGTTCCTTTTCTGTCCTGGTCCATCCTGTGTCCTACAGCCCTCTCCAGCTTTGTGCTATGGCCCAACTGGAAGAACCTGCACAATTTGAGAGCCTCTGCATGACATCTATGTACTGTGTACTACTTTATTCTCTACCAAGTATATTCACTTACGCTGTTTCAAGCATAAAACAACATTGAGTACTCTTTAGAACTAGCCAGAAAGCCAGCTTCTGGAGAAGGCTTTCATAAGGCAAATGTCAAATTCTCTCTGCCTTTTGATAAACTAGACAGATCCCACCAGAAGTTTCCCATAGGACCAAACATATCGTTCTGAAACTTTTGCAAGGCAGAAACACACTTCTCTCAGAGATGTTTGTTACACCCACCTCAAATCAGATCCATAACACATGGACTGGATTTGAATGACCAAATCCGGACCTCTGAGTTTCCAGAGGGCTTGTCTAGCTATTCACAGATGGCGGTGACAAAGCTAAATTTCACCTTAAGTTTAATTAATTGACTTTGGTTACTTTAATTTTGGGGAGCTCCAGTGGCATAGTGCCTAAAGCATTTGACTGCTAACTGGAAGGCTGGTGGTTCAAACCTGCCAGCCACTCCACAGAAAGAAGGTTGGCCCATCTATTTACTTCTGTAGTGATACTGTCTCAGAAACCCAAGGAGGGGTCACTATGAGTTGAATTCGACTTGACGGCAGCAAGTTTGGTTTTGGTTTTACTTTAATTTTGATGGCTAAAGAAATCCTCCCACCCTTTCATTACAGACAACTACTCACTACAAACAACTGGCCAAGATGGACTAAATGATCTCTTCTGTTAAATAAGCCATGTTGTTATTAGCTGCCGCCATGCCTGGTCCTGCACCATCGCTGTGATCAGTTGGGGATTAGATGGTTGGATCCAGTTGTGATCCACACGGTTCTTTCTAATCTTAGTCTGGAAGCTCCAGTGAAAGCTGTCCAGCATCACAGAAACACGCAAACCTCCACCAACAGACAGTTGGTGGCTGTGCATGAGGTGCATTTGGCCAGGAATCGAATGCAGGTCTCCCGCTTGGGAGGTAAGATTCTGCCATTGAACCACCACTGCCCCAAGACAAACTTTAGAATAGACTTTTTCCTACCTCATTTCCCCAACCTTCTCTCTCTCACCTTCAGTCTTTACAATGTCTAGGCACCAAACCAGAGCATCTCATCTCCTCCCTCTCTGTCAGTTTCCCAGGATCATGTGTCTTTATCATAGGAAAACATTCCAAACAAAATAGCGCTAACCTTTAGCAATCACCCACCATGGCAGTGATCTATTCCCCTCAACTTTCTTTTAAAAACCTAGGAAGTCTTTGTCCCAGTCGAGTAGGACCTGGTCTCCTACTACATAATATCCCTCCTCCTCAGCCCCTTCAGCTCTGGTAGCGCAGTACCTAAGGCACTTGACTGCTAACCAGAAGGCTGACAGTTCAAACCCACCAGCCACCCCTCGGAAGGAAGATGGGGCAATCTACTTCCGTAGTGATACTGCCTCGGAAACCCAAGGAGGGGTCGCTATGAGTTGGGTCCAACTTGATGGCACATAACAACAACAACAGCAGCCCCTTCATCCCTTCTCTTGGCCCTTTCCCCTCCCTTAGAATAATTCTTTTTGAATAAAATCCTCCTTGCCTGTTCTAACATTGGTGCAATCTTTTCTTTGGCAGTTCCTATACTGCAAATGATTGTACCATGTGGTTCTGTGCTGCATTTTTCTTCCTAAGCCTTGCTTTCAGTATCCCTGAAACTAGTTTTGTTGTTGTCATGTTTTGTTTTATCCCAAAGCTAGCTAATGTAAAGTTCCCTGAGATTAAAAAAGTACAAGATCATAAAACCTTAGAAAAATAAGTAATTATTTAATTTCTACTTCAAAATAGACTATGTACATCTGAAACTCTAAGGGGATATATACCAGGAAATTATTTCATCATAAAAATAAAATACAAAATAATGATTGCCCATTTCAGATCCATCTTCAATCCAGCTGAAAGGGGCATAAGCTGCCGGTTGTGTTGCAGTAGGGAGCCATCCTCTGTCAGTGACTTGGTGGCCATCTCAAAGGGGTTCCGTGTCTAGGAGTTCCTGGAGTGTTTTGAGGACATGCTTTGGCTGGCCAGTGGCAAAGTCCTGCAACCGGGAGCCCATCTGCTCCTGGAGACTCCTGGACAGCCGGCTCACAGCCGTACGCACATTCCCGCTGTGCCCAGGCAGGATGCCTTTCCCAGTCATGTTGTTCAGGAAGTACCAAAGGACAGGAAGGACGTGGCGCTCTACGGCCTGAGGCTTCCGGGGATAAACTGAGGTCACCAGCACTGTGGGCAGAAAAAGGAGAGCTACTGAGTCAGGCACTCTCTCCTCCCCTACTGCCCTCTCTTGGGACACCAACTCTATCCCCCAAAGGGCAAGAGGCCTTAAAGGTCGACTTCTCCATCGGGCACCATACCTAGGACCGATGATGCCTTTAAAACCCATTGCCCTTGAGTTGATTTTGACTCATAGCAACCCCCATTGGCTTTCCAAGGCTTTAAATCTTTACAGAAGTAGTTTGGCCTCATCTTCCTCCCACAGAGCAGCTGGTGGGTTTGAACTGCCGACCAAAATGCCTTATCCACTATACCACCAGAGTTCCTTACAATGCCTTTAGAGGCCCATGAAAATATTGTCATTTCATTTCAAATCAGAATAAATTAATAAATTCAGCCTGGATTACAGTCATCTTTTTATTCTAACCAGTTATAAAATATAATTTAAAAAAAAAAAAAAAGGGGGGTCCATCAAAGCAAAAGTGTCCAATCTCCATGATGGTAAAAATGGCTCCCAACTGTCCAGGGGAGAGGAAAACAGGCAGACGGACCCAGATTACTAACCCACCTCCTCTATGCCCTAGCTGTGTGAGCTTAAGAAGGCCTCCAACCTTTCTGTTTCCAAATATGTAAAATAAGCAGATCTGGTGGCGCAGTGGCTAAGATATTTGACTGCTAGCCAGAAGGCTAGTGGTTCAAATCTACCAAACCCACCAGCCACTCTGCAGAAGGAAGATGGGGCAAGCTATGTCCATAAAGATTTACCACCTCAGAAACCCAAAGGGGGTCATTATGAGTCAGAATCGACTAAATGGCAGTGAGTTAATATGGAAAATAAAGATAATGATCCTGGGCCAAGCTTTTAAGGTTGTTTTAGAGATTTGATAATGAAGTGTACCTAACAAGCTTGGCACTTGGTAGGCTGGCACGTGACAACTGGTAGCCAGTATTAAGGCTAACCCCACCCCCACACCTCCCCCAAAAAACTAGCGTTACTTCGACTTTTATCGCCACTTGTGAGAGTCCAGACACACAGCAAGAAACATTGTGGGAGAGAGAGAAGTCAAAATTCTCTCACATGAAGTGTTCTGGCAAATTGTTCTGGTGGCACAGTGAGTAAGGCATTTGGCTGCTAACTAGTAGGTCAGCAGTTCAAACCTACCAGCTGTTCCACAGGAAGAAGATGGGGCTGTAAATATTTACAGCCTGGGAAACCTTATGGGGTCACTATGAATCAGAATCAGTTTGATGGCAGTGGTTTGGTTTGATTAGTCAGAGACAGGACCAGCTTGACCTGCCCAGTACTAGATGCTTCCAGACCTCATTATAAGACCAAAAGCAATTCATGAAGCATGGAAGTGCTTTGTAAAATCATCACGCTCCCTACAGACCTTTCATTCCAGTGATGAGCCCCTTAAATCTGGTTACCCCAAACCCTCAAGCCTCTTTTTTTATCACACCAAAAAGTTAACAATAAGTCAATTGCCTCAAAATTTTTAACAGTTCATTTGTTTGTTCAGAATTGGATGTTATATCTTTAAATGTTTTTAAAGCATCTCTTTTTTCCCTCTTACAATTTGTTTGTCTTCTTTTTTGATTGTTGTAAATGTATAATTATAACACAACATTTGCCAATTCAACACTTTTCACATGTATAGTTCAGTGAAACCAATTACATCATATTGTACAGCAATCACCCAATATCTATTGCCAAAGTTTCCACCACTATAAATGGAAATTCAATGCTTCCAAACCCCAAAACCTCTCTAAACTCCAGAAAACCCAGAAGCCAGGCAGACCTGCCAGCAAGCCCTCCATCACCTAAATACATGCTCCAGCCAATGTCAGAGCCACATCGAATGCTGTCTCACTTAGGAGGGGCTGCTCTGTCCTTCAGCTTTGGCTGAACTGCCCTAAGTGCATTGATGCTAACAATACTGGCTTTACAATCAACATGCTCTGGCAAAGGATAAGTGCTGGTGACAGTAAACAATGCTGAAAGCAGTGCTTTATTTATTTATGGGGCAAAGAAACTGGAATGTTCCCTGGGCTTGGGCACGTCTGGGAAATTAGCACTGTCTGAGCACAGGTGCAGAGCTTTGCAGCAACCCTGAGAGGCAGGGCTTGCACCCAGTGCACAGAGGGGGAAACCAAGGCTCAGGAGCCAAGGGGCTTACATCAAACCACACAGCTAATGAGGGCAGAGCTGAAACAGAACTGACTCTGCCTTGCCTCCAAAGTCCATGTTCTTCCCATCCCACACTGCCTTCCACAGTTCTAGAAGCCCCACTTTTTAAAATTCTTTGTTCTAATTGTTTTATGTATCTATTTTTTTAATTGTGGTAAATATACAGATAACAGAACATTTGTCATTTCAACAATCTTCACATGTACAATTCAATGACATTAAAAATGTTCACTGTGTTGTTCAACCATCACCATTTTTCCATTACCCTTAACAGAAACTCAGTGTCCCCCCAAGCATTGTATCTTCCTTTACCCCTACGGGCTTCACTTTTTAGTGACTGGTCAGGAGTTTTGTTTTAATGAAACCTCCAATTTGTCCTCCCCTCAGCAGCTTAACTCACCCAATTCCCCCAAGATATCTTGCACCAGGAGCCCGACAGGGTACCTCTTATTTCAGAGCCAGCCTGGGACAATGGGGAGCTGAGAAGGTGAGATCACCACCCCCTCAGCTCAGCTCAACACCCTCTCAGTGATGTTTCCCACAGAATGGATATATTGACTTTCTGGCCATATGACTGGGATTCCTGCACCCCACTCTGTGGAACCCCCTTGGAGATCTCCAAGTGTCCCAGACCCTGGAGGGTTCAGTAAAGGTGTTCCTTACCAGTGAGGAAGGCAGGACTGTACCCAGTGAGTCAGCCCAGCCACATCAGCATTCATGAGAACTTTCCAGAGGAAAGGGCCTTGAACAACAAGACATTGGTTGAAAAGAGGTGAGAGCTCTGTTCCCTGTATTTGGAATATGTTGCAAAGGGAGAGGACAGGAAAAAAAAAAAAAAATCCTGGTCAACTCCAAGGATGGGGGTTGGGAGCAAGGGGCAGAATGAGAGGTGAGAGGAACAAGAGGAAGTTAGCAAGGGAGCAATAAGAGGCAACAGGGGGGGAAAATGGATTTGTACCTTCACTGAACAAAATAACTCAAGAGTTTCCAAAGTCTCCACTGAATCTCACCTACAGACGGTGAGAAGAACTATTTCAGGAACTAAGCCCAGGTGAGGCTCTCCTCTTGTTTTGGTTACCTAGTGTCACTTAAACAGAAGATACCACAAATGGGATGCTTGAACAAACAGGAGTTTATTCTACTACAGTTTCAGAGGCCAGAAGTCCGAGTTCAGTGTCAGGCTCTAGGGGCTGGGTGAAAACTCCTTGACCTTCGGCTTCAGCTCTGCCTCTTGCTCCCAGGTCGCTGAAGCTGGAGGCATCTCTTCACTCAGGCAGCTGTTGGCTGCTGAGGCTGACAAACCCAAGGGCAACAAGTGAAAAGGCACAGTCCCGATATTAACAAACCACACAGCAGGCTATTGATTCAAGTCCATTGAAAGTCCCCAGATTGGCAGAGCATGGCAGGCTGCTGAACAACGACTCAGCCACATGCAGGGTTCAAGCGTGCCATAAGCTGGAGACCTTCCTTGAAGTTGCTTCTTATATACTGGATGCAGCCCATATCCCTAAAGCAGCTACTCAGCTACTCCAATAGATTCTACCATGGAGTTAATTACCAGTCTCCTCATGGGGAATAACTACATCCAGCTGCCCAGCCACTCAACCAGGCCCAGCCAAGTTGACAACAACCTTAACTACCACACCTCCTCTCACCACCACACAAAATTGGGTGTTCCCCTACCTTCTCTACCTGCCCAAATCTTACAACACAGCTGCACTTCAGACCAGAACCTCACCCACTCTGGAACAGAAAGGCCCATTGACACCTGGGGCACACATCCCAGGAAGCTTATACCTCAGTCAGAATAACAATCTTGGCCCCATCTCAGCTCCTCTGCTCCTGCTTTCTTTACTGCTCAGATCTCTGCTAATGCAGAGTTATGTTCCTCAGTCACCTGGCTGACAGAGTCTTTCAAGACCCTTCTGGGAATCATGATGAGGAAGAAAACCCCATTAAATTCAACCTTAAAAGGCAGCTAAAGTAATTAGCAAAAGATTTACTCCTATTAAGCAGTGCTATTGTTAGTCAATTGAAATTATCTCCTCTGTTTCGGGCTAAAACTGAGTCACAGATAAACTATGGAGACCCTTGTTTTTGGGGGCTGCACTGCAGTGCATTACTTAACATAGCCCTTCTAGCCATAGTCTTTGTAACTCCCACCAAATGACTGGGTAGTGGTGTTGTTGTTATATGCCGTCAAGTCGGACCCAACTCATAGTGATCCCTCCTTGGGTTTCTGAGGCCGTATCACTACGGAAGTAGATTGTTTCATCTGGGTAGGACTATGCAAATATGAGGTGCTTTTGGTCCACCAAAGGGATTGGATAGTTTACTAATAATGTAAATAAGATGCATGGCACTCTTGTGGAGATTGTTGTGTTGTTTCGTGTCAGCAATTTGGTTCCGAATCATAGTGACCCATGTACAAGCCAAGTCCTGCACCATACTAACAATCATTGTTATACTTGAGCCCATCATTGCAGCCACTGTGTGAATCCATCTCATTGAGGGTCTTCCCCTTCTTCACTGACCCTCTACTTTACCAAGCATGATGTCCTTCTCCAGGGAATGGTCCCTCTCACAACATAACCAAAACAGATGAGACAAAGTCTGGCCATTCTCTCTTCCAAGGAGCATTCTGGCTGCACTTCTTCTAGGAAAGATTTGTTTCTTTTTCTGGCAGTCCACGGTATTTTCAGAATTCTTTGCCAACACCACAATTCAAAGGGATCAACTCTTCTTCAGTCTTCCTTATTCATTGTCCAGTTTTCACATGCATATGAGGCAATTGATACCATGGCTTGGGTGAGGTGCTCCGTAGTCTTCAAAGTGACATCTTTGCTTCTTAACACTGGAAAGAGGTCTTCTGCAGCAGATTTGCCCAGTGCAATATGATGTCTGATTTCTTGACTGCTGTTTCCATGGGTATTGATTGTGGATCCAAGTAAGATGAAATCTCTCACAATGTCATTCTTTTCTCCATTTATCATGATGTTGCTTATTGGTCCAGTTGTCGGGATTTTTGTTTTCTTTATGTTGAGGTGTAATCCATACTGAAGACTGTAGTCTTTGATCTTCATCAGTAAGTACTTCAGTCATCTTCACTTTCAGCATGCAAGGTTGTGTCAATGCATATTGCAGGTTGCGGGGTGGGACCATGCAATAAAGTGTATGAACCCTAATATGGGCACTGGTCAGTTTTGTCATCTTGCTAGGCTTAAAATGAGCCATCCCAGAGTTGGAAAGGTGGGGGGGTGAGGGGGATCTCACTACCATTAAGAAAGAAGAGCCAGGAGTGGAGTGAGTCCTTTGGACCCAAGATCCCTGCACTGAACTTCCTCAATCAAGGAGACAGAGAAGAATTATGTGCAGAGACAATGAGAAGCAAAGGCAGCAGAACCAAGAGACTCGCATGAGATAGAGTGGTGGGCTTCCTGGTCCACAAGTGAGAAAACTGAGTGCCTTGGAGCAGGCATGCTGGTGAAGTAGGATGCCTCTAGGCACTTATCCATGGAGCTAGGTTCACTGACCCACAGAACAAGAAAGCTGAGTGCCTTTAGGCAGGAGGCTTGCTAACAGAATGGATTGCCTCTCTGGCCACCTATCACAAGAGCTAAAAGAGTTTTGCAACACTTGCCTGAGCAGGGCTGAGGCCAAGATGCAACCAAGCCAAAAGGAGGAGGGCCAAAGAGAGGCATGCTTTTGGGCACTGCTGAAAAGAGACTGCCCTCGTAGAAGAACTGTATCCTGAGTCACTTCTGATACTGAATTGTAACCTGTTACTTTCCTAATAAACCCCATAATTATGAATATTGTCTGTGAGTTCTGTGTGGCCACTACAACAAATGATCAAACCCAGCAGAGAAGTAGAGAGTGCCATGGGACAGTTGGTGTCAGAATTGGTAAAAATAATTTTAAAACAGATAAAAGCAAACAAAAAAAAAAAAAAAAAAAAAAAAAAAAAGCGGGGGTGAGGGGAGGCATGTCTGACCTCCACCTCATAGGAATCAGCCTTGGGCTATTGATGTAGATAATCTCCTCCTTTTGTGAAGTAAGAGGAGGTCAGACACCTCCTTCATGCCATTTTTATAGAAATCTTTGGAAATAGATGGAAAAAATTTACAGTAATTGAGTAATCTAAAGTGAGGAGGCTCTCCTTCCTCTGGGCCCCATAGATTATCCATACAAGGTCAGGGAAGGATTTCACTCAGAGAATAATGAGTTTGAACAACAGAGAAGCGTTCCCTGTCTGGGATTCAGAGTGATCTCAGTTTTGCTGCCCTGCTTTCACCCCAGGGCACCTTCAACATTGCACTGCTGCCATCATGACCCCCAACCTTGCTTACTAGCCCTGTCTGCTTGGGGAAGGCCTGGCACCTGGTAATGCTGGGAGGACTAAGCCAGGGCATAGAGAGGGAAAATGAGCAGCTGGCATTCTATGTGGCTAATTGGTCTGTATTTGTCAGCACCTACTGAGAGTCCAGCGCTGGGGGGCACTGGCTGGGGCCTGTAGACTGGTTAAAAGACTGTTTGGGGTGGGCTGTGTAGTGGCACATATAACTCATGTAGGAGTGCTAAGGAGAAGGGAGATTGGCAGAGAAAGTGCATGTAATTGGGGTAGAGGAAGAAGAGGGCAGAGCCTGGAGAGGTGAGCAGCCAGGTAGTGATGGGCCTGGTGGGCCCACTCCAGGGAGCCTGTACGCTGTCCTGAAAATTACTCAGAAGCCATGGAAGGATGTAAAAGTATGATCACTCAGCATTTAGGGGAGCTCTCTGGAGTCTAGAGAAGAGGCTGAGTTCACTTCCTGTTCTGGTACCTAGTGCCACTCTGACAAGAAATATACCACAAATGGGATGGCTTAAACAAACAGGAGTTTATTCTTACAACTTGGAGGCTTTAAGTCCAAGTTCAAAGTGCCAGGCTCTAGGGCCTGGGTGAAAGCCCCTCAACCTTGGGGTCCAGCTCTGCCTCCTGCTCCCGGCCCACTGGAGCTAGAGGCATTTCTTCACTCAGACAGCTGCTGGCTGCTGAGGCTGAGAAGCCCCAAGGTTGACAAGTAAAAAGGCACAGTCCCGATGTTACCAAACCACACAGCAGGCCATTAACTTAAGTCTATTGTATATGTCCCAAGGTCAGCAGAGCATAGTAGGCTGCTGAGCAACGACATGGCTACATGCAGGGTCCAAGCATGCCATAGACTAGAGACCATTCTCAAAGCTTCTCCTTATATACAGGAAGCAGACCACCTCCCAAAGGCAGCTTCTCAGCTGCTTGTGGTAGATCCCACCATGGAGTTGATTGTCAGTCTCATCATGGGGAATAACTACCACCAGCTGCCCAGCCACCCAACCAGGCCCAGCCAAATTGACACACAAGCATAACTACCATACTTCCTTCCTCCCTAGCTTCACAAGACAGAAGAGTGGGCTTTTGGCAAGCAAGAAGGATCATAAATGTAGCCTGCCCAAAGTCAGAGTTGACAAGTGGCAAGTGGGTCTGTGGACCCCAAAACCTGTTTTCTTTCCATGTAGCCACATTAAGGGTCACAGGAGTAGGTTTTAGCCCTGGAATGAAATCTCCTTGGACTTACTCTGCAGATTCAAAGCAGAAATAGAATTGGAGCAACCTTTCTCAGCCAAAGCTTGAACAGGGCAGAGAAGATCCAGGCTGAGTCCCCATCTGCACACAATACAGTTTCAAAGACCTGGCTAGGGGTTAAATGGGGTTAAAATCCAGCCCCTGCTCAGTGTGCCAGCTGTGCATGCTGAAGAAGGGGCAACTTTTCCCAATTCTCACAACAATGCTGTCTGCTCACCAAGGCACACACACACACTACTGGGAGCCTTATTTGCTATGAGGAAGAAATGCACAGTACATTTTTTAGAAACTGTTTGGTGATGTACAAACCTGGCAATTTAAGTACTGTCACACACATAACAGAATATCAAAAAATTTAAATTATCTGTGGGGATTGTTCTAGGTCCAAGATAAGTTCAACTACACACCAGGAGAGAAAAACAGAGATCACCTAGGAAAGTGGAGGGCTAGGGGAGTAGGGCTGCTTACCTGACAGACGTTCTGTGACATCAAGCACCGCATGGCCGCTCAGGAAACGCACACGCCCAGCAAACACTTGCAGAAGGCACAGATTGTCTAAAGAGATGGAGAATGTCACTGACTATGATACTCTGATGGAGAATGTCAGTGACTGTGATGCTGTGAGACGTGCACAACAGCACCAGGTGTTCACAGTGCCAGGTACCTTCAAGAGGGAGAGCCCTTTGGGAAGCTGAATTAATTTTTTCAGGTCATAATGAGGCCACTTAACAGTGAATGTGCATGGAATTTTGAGGGAAGAGTAGGTGGCCTGAAATAGTTTAAATGTCTCCCAAACAGGCCTCTTTTACTCCAGTGAAGTCCTCTGAACTAAAAATTTCACTGCTTTATATTGTCTATGCTTCCTCAAACAGAAGGAAGGTTGGGCAATCTACTTCCGTAGTGATACTGCCTCGGAAACCCAAGGAGGGGTCGCTATGAGTCTGGTCCGACTCGATGGCAAAACAGCAACAGCAATGCTTCCTCAAAAAGAGCTCTGGTGGTAAGTGGTTAAGGCATTGGGCTGCTAACCAAAAAGGTCAGTGGTTTGAGCATACAGCCACTCTATGGGCGAAAGATGAGGCAGTCTGCTTCTGTAAAGATTTATAGCCTTGGAAACCCTATGAGGGTCACTATGAGTTGGAACAACTCAATGGCAGTGAGTTTGGTTTGGTTTGAGATGCTTCCTCAAATTGCTGTGCACTTTAGGCAAAAGGATGGATGGATGGATGGATGGACAGACGGACAGATAGATAACAAAATAGAGGTGGATAACTAGTTGCCTTGCAGTTGATTTGGACTCATGCAACCCTATGTGTATCAGAGTAGAACTGTGCTCCATAGGATTTTTTCTTTCTTAATTGTGATTTGGGTGAAAGTTTACAGAGCAAATTGGTTTTCCATTCAGCAATTCATACACATTTTGTTTTGTGACTTTCATTGCAATCCCCACAATACAACAGCACCCTTCTCACATCCTCCCTGTGTCTACCATTTTCCTTTGTCCTTCTTTCCTATCCCTTCCTGCCTTCTAAGCTTTATCCCAGGGAAAATGCTGCCCTTTTGACTTTGTGTGGCTGGTTGCTTTAATGAGTGCATACATTCCTCGTATTCACCTCATAGGCCTACCTATCATTTGGCTGAAAGGTGAGCTATTGGGGTTGAGTTTAGTACCCAGCTTGAAGAATGTCTAAGGACCACAGTTTCAGGGGTTCCACCGGTCTCTATCCGACCAGTAAGCCTGCTCTTTTTTATGATTGTGAGTTTTGTTTCACATTTTTCTCTCTCTCTATCCTGGACCTCCTATTGTGAAACTGGTCAGTAATGGTAGCCAGGCACCATCTAGTTCTGGTCTCAGGGTCATGAAGGCTGGGGTTCATGTGGTCCATTAGTCCTTTGGATTGTTTCCTTGCATTTTTTATTTTCTTCACTCTTTCCTCCAGATAGTGAGAAACCAATAGTTGAACTTTAGATAGCCACTAACAAGCTTTTAAGACCATAGTTGCTACTCACTAAAGTAGGATGTAGAACATTGTCTTTGTGGATGATGTTATGCCAAATGACCTCAGTGTCCCCTGAGACTATGGTCCTGAGCCCCCATATCCAGCAACTCATTCCTTCAAGGTGTTTGGTTATTTGTGATAGTTGGAGCTGTGTGTCAACTTGGCTAGACCACAATTCTGTGTGGATTAAGCAATTGTGATGTGGGTTGTTCCAATGATGGGATCAGATGTATATGTTTTGAGCAGCCAATCCATTGAAAAGGAGTTTCTCTAGGGGTGTGGCCTGATTCCAGTATATTTATGGACATCCTGGGAAAAGAGACACTCTTCTCTTTCATTGATCGGGATTCTGTTGTGCTGCCTACAACTGTCCCGTGAGCGAACAACCCACCATTTGGCCTGGAGATCTTGGATTCGTCATTCAGTGGAGTCAACAGCCAGTATACTGCCTGCTAACCTTGAGCTCTTCAGCCCCTGCAGCTGCATGAGTCGGGAAAAGCCTCCAGCTTGATGTTTGATCCAAGAACTTGGCACTTGCCAGCTTCTGTAAGTGTGTGAGCCATTTTCCTAAGATAAATTTCTCTTTCTCTCTCTCTCTATATAAGTTTTACTAGTTTTGCTTCTCTAGAGAACCCAGGCTAACACAATTATGACTACTAAGTTTTCATAACTTTGCCTACTGTATTCATGGATATATTTATAGCACATATAAATACATATTAGAGCTATCCTCTGTCAAACCTATATGTATTCGTGGGTGTAGCACCATTCCCACCACTCATCTGTCAGTTTGTTATACTGTGGTGGTTGCATGTTGCTGTGAGGCTAGAGGCTATGTCACTGATATTTCAAATACCAGCAGGTTCACTCATGGTGGACATGTTTCAATGGAGCTTCCAGACTAAGACAGACTAGGAAGAAGAATGGGCCCATCCACTTCTGAAAAAAACTGGACTATGAAAACATTATGAATAGCAGTGAAACACTGCATGACACATTGACTGAGCAATGTTTCATTCTGTTGTACACAGGGTTGCTATTAGTTGGAGCCAACTCAACAGCACCTAACAATAACAACATTCCCATTTGGCCTCCCACACTCATAGATTATTGTTATTACTGTTATTGCAGAATTGTGTATGTAATAGTATTCACTTTTGTTGCATTTAACTCTTGTACTCTTCCCTATGTCTCCCACTGCCTTGATCATTTTGTGTGACCTCCCCTTTACTGTATATTGACATTCCCTTCACCCAAGTTAATATGCATCTAGCATATAGGCAATTTTCGATCCCTTCCCCTCCCACCCCTGGTAACCTTCAAACAACAATTATTTCTGTGTGTAAACCTTTTCTTAACTTTTTACAGTAGTGATTTCATGCAATAATTGTCATTTTGTGATTAATTTCACTCAGCATAATGTCCTCTAGGTTCATCCATGTTATGAGGTGTTTCACAGATTCATCATTATTCTTA